CTTGTTTTTTACAGCATTCCATGAGAATGTTAGACTTTTCTTTTATTCTTTCGTTTTAACCTTGTACTATTCGCCACTACCACCGTCACTATCAAAGCCAGCACCAACATCACTACAACACCACTGCCACCTAACGACTGTTTTTAAGAAGACGACTGTATGCTTGTCTGTATGGATCTCCACTTACTGGCTTCTTATATTTTCTTTTTCACCTCTTTCGTTCGTTCACTGGCTTGCCTTACTTTGTTGTCTTTGAGTATTTTATTTTCACTTTATGAGTTACCCACAAAAGACACCATGTTGCCTTCAACCCCGTTTCTGTTGTTAGCTTAACCATTTGGGCCATCTTGCTCACTTATCACAACATATTGCGATATTGCAATAGTGACTTGTGCTATTGCAAATGTCCATATTCGCATTGTGCCTATTTGGAAATAATAGCGATGCAGCAGCAGAGAATACACATTATTCTCAATTGTATCCATTTTGGCTGGCTTTCCTGCTTTGTCTGATCGTTCGCTCAATCCGGGCGTTTAATTTTGTAGTCTACTCTCATCTTCCCCTCTTTGTTGTTCTCTCCTGATTTTGTTTTTTATACTTTGTAACATTGTATGCTCCTCTTCATTGACAAAGCATTTTCCACTCTTTTGCTTTCTGCATATCTGTCCTCCTGTACTTTGTCAGGCCATGATTCAATTGTTCCATTGGACAGTCTAATTTAATCAAGCCACTTTTGTAAGCAGTTCCCCTGCCTTTACACCCTTCATGGCCATGGCCATGGCATAGCAGGAAAAAATGGTATCCCCTTTTTTCTAATATTTTTGATTTCATGCGCTGCCTAGACTATGGGTGGAGCAGTTTCCATCGCCGCTAGTTTACAAGTGACTCGTTTTTTCGTGAAACTGGTAAGTGCACAGCAATAAAATAAAAGTATCTGGTATGCCAACCTTTGGCTAACTCCGGAGCTTAGTCCTATCGACTGGCTGAGTGTTAATGCTGTTGGGACTGACAACTAAAGGCCGGTTTTCCATTTCTCGGAGCTGGCTGGTTCCAAGAGAAACGTGAAAAACCCATTTTAGGGTCGATTTTGCGTTACGATTAATCGGACTGGACTGGGCAACTTAGGCTGACTTTCACTCCATTCAGCAGTTCAGCAGCGGTAGCGAACGGCTTTGTGACCTTTTTTTCAGTCTTAGTGCACATTTTAGCTCTTGCCACCAACCCTTTTCGGCTGGGCCAATATTGAAGGTTGGGTTTTGTTTACCCGACTACGATTAAGCAAGAGTTATTCGCTGCTTACTATTATTTTACGTATGTAATATCAAGATGATTATTTCTACTAAAACTACTGCAATTCAGGAAATTTTCACTTTTAATCACTAGTTTGCTACTATTCATATTTCTAACGATAATACGTGCTAAAGTAGTAGTAGTAGTAGTAGTAGTAGTAGTAGTAGT